AGAAAGGTGATAAAAGTAATCTTGGACAATGTTGGAGTATGACTGTGTGAAAGGCAAAAACTAGTGTTCCATGGCCTGCTGCGGAACCTGCTGCTAACATGGCCTCCAAATATGTCATTTGCAGATTTGGCACACATTGCCTTGGGCCAGGCCTTGCTTCATGCAGTAGCCTTGCAGAAAGCTGTGCCCACAATGCTGTGCTACTGATTCAAACATATTCAAACAAAAAAGCCCTTGCAGGCAAACGGATTTCAAATGATAGCTCTTGAAGCCAAAACTGAAAAACAACAAGCAGAACCAAGGGCAGCACTGCAAGTTAGTGGTCACTTACTTTCATGCTGGAAAATATGTCTAGATAAGTATGTCAAGAGAAAGCCTAAGCGTTTCTGTTTTCCCCCACTGCCTGTATGATTTACCATTGCTGTGTTTGCATGGTTATTTACCACAAGGCAGCCCACGATCTTTTGTCTGACCAAGGAAATATTTACACTTCCTTTTGTTCCCCTGCTGCCTTTCTTGTTACCACTTGTTGTATTCCTGTCTTGAACTGAGACTGAGTCCCCCCAAAGTAGGGAGACTGGCACTTGTCACAGCCACTCACACTGCCACGGCATCTGACACATCCATAGATTCCTTTGAGGAAAGCTGGTGTGACATGCTTTGCTTCCTCAGCATTCTTCTTCACAATGGCCTTTTGCTTGGGCTCTGCTTTGGCTAGGGTTTTCTTAGAAGCTGGCCTCTTCATGGCAGTATCCAAATCATTGCCCTTCCTCTTGGTGAGCATGTGTTTGGCCTCAGCTTCATAGTCCTCAAGGCTTTTGCCTGGGTGCCATCATTTCCTCCAGCAGGTGCAGCACAGTCAGAAGGTGCAGGTAGAGGCAAAACAGCTGGAACTGCCGGCAAAGCTTTGGGAGTCAGGAGTCCCTTGGGCCGGCCCCATCTGAGAGCAAGGAGTTGCTGGAAGGAGGCTTCTCCAAGCTATCATTGTTCAAGATTTTCTGGCTCAAGGCATCCAAGCTCTGGCCTGTTTCTCCATCATGTCAAAGAGATGGGTGGTCACCATACTGTTTGTAGGATCTTTCCCTGTCGAAGGCTCTGCTGGCAACTGCTGAGAGGTTGCCTGTGGAGTGGCCACAGCCCTGAGTTCCTTGGCAGTTCCGCTCACCGTGACTTTCTTGGCAATGCTTCCAAGGTTTATCATATGACTGGTAGCGAGCAAGCAGAAAGCCTGCAAGTGTTTATGTTCAAATGGAAATATGTATACGTGTCCATGTGTGTGTGTTCAGGGATTATGTCATGGCTAAATTTTGACTTCAAAATTATCAGCTTGAAAGCAGCCATCACCAAAGATTCTACAAACCCAGTGCCTCCCCACCCAGTGCCTCCCCAATGTCGTGGGGGCTAGGTGGGTACCTTGCCAAACCAGCATGCAGAGGTTGAGCCACCACAGCCTCGAACGTATCCAGCACAAAATTTGTACATGTCAAAAACTGGAGGCAAGACATTGGTGATTTCACCTGAAGGCTGACCAAAAAGGATGTCAAGTACTTCTTGGTGTCTTCTTTGAGGCTTTTCAACCCACACACTTTGATTCTTTTGATCAGCATGTGGGTAGCATCAACTGTGTTGATGCCATTCTGCATCTGCTGCCATTCGCTTTGGGACAGGTAGTTCCAAGGCGTGGTCATGCTTTGAGGTGTAGCCTGCAACCTGGTGGCCCCTTGGATTGAAGAGGCTGCCCTTGATTCGAGAAATGCTTGCAACCCTGCCTTCGTGTCAGCAGTCAAGATGCCATTTTGAACAGCATCAGGACGCTTCAAGAAGTTAGAAGCAGCGAGCATTTGGACACCGTTCACTTTGGACTGCAAAGCTTCCTGCATTCGTGGCACCAGCTGTGAACCAGCGTTCCTTTGGTAAATCGCTTCCATATCACTAATCTCCTTGACTAAGTCCTCAACGTCCCAAGTAGCCATGGTGATCAAAGGATCTAGGCTAAGGTGAGCCCACAATTCCTATGGGCCCACTGCAGCAGAAGCAGAAGAGAATTGATTCTGCTAACCTTCAAAGTTAGAATTATGACAGCTCCTTTGGGCATGGGATAAAGGAGTTTAAGCCTTTACATGAAAGCCCCTTTGGGCAGAAACAATTTAGTTTACAAAATAAAATGAAAGCCCTCTCAGCAAAACCTGTAGCAAGAGTCGGTGGGAATGGGTTCTGGGACCCTTTAAGGTTAGAAGCATATAAACTTCAGTGGGCTCTCATACCCAACCCTGGACCTTTACATGAAAGCCCCTTGGGCATAAACCACAATAGTTTCAAAATAGCAGGAAAGGCCACTGGGCCAGAAAAAAACAAGTACACCACATGGTGTTTTTTTAAAATATTTTTTCTCCCCCCACAGTATTTTGATTCCACCCAAGTATGTTTTCATCCAGGCTTTCCATGCACTATGGGCATACAGCTGCAGCTATCAGGCGCAGATAGCATCGCCAGAAGGAACAGGGACCCCAGCCAACATGTAACTGATTTTGATCAAGTTCTTCAGGCTGGCAGGCAAAAGATGTGGGCCTTCATTCTGCTTGAAGTGCTCAAGAGCATCCTGCCTGAGCAAGCGAGCAATTTGTTTACGTCTATCCTCATACTACCTGAGTTCCCGTATGCTTTAAAAACATGATGAATTTCAACCTGGTAACCAAGAATCAAAACCTGATTGATGAATCTCGACATACCAGAGGCTCTTTCATCCATTGGATGAGGTCCAGGTTTGAAACTGTCGAGATACCATTGGATCAGTGGCTGAACCCCGTGCCTGACCCCTATTACTGGACATCCTGACAGCTTACACCTTGACAAGAAAAATGCAAAGGACACATGTCTGATGCACTAATGGAACACCAAAACCTGAAGCATCAATGTGCTATACTTGTGACAGCTTCAAAAAATGAAAGCATCAATGTGCTTTTTGGCTAAAAAAATGAAAGCCCTAAAGGCTGCTTATGTAAAAACTACATTATTTTTTTGATAGTTGTGCCAAATAGTAAACCAAATTAATATCAAAATCTGAACAGTAAAAAATATACTATTGTAGGTTCAAGTTAAGGTTCTGAATTGAAATGCCAACTGTTTGTTTTCCAATTTAGATTTCTGAATTGACATGGAGATTGTTTGATTTTCAATTTGGAATTCTGAATTGAAATGGTGATCGTTTGATTTTCAAGGTAGATTTCGGATTGAAATGGTGAATGTTTGATTTTCTATTAGATTTCTGAATTTAAATGGCGACTGTTTGATTTTCAATTTAAATTTCTGAATTGAAATGGTGACTGTTGGATTTTCAATTTCGATTTCCGAATTGAAAATTGCGATTGCTTTATTTTCAATTTAGAAACAGAATTGAAATTCTTACTGTTTGATAGTTTGATATAAGGTTTTTTTTAACCACCCAGGCTTTGCTGGAGTCAGTAAGATCTTAGGCGAGTACAAGTGTTCAAGCCATACTCACCCTCCAAGTTCTTTTGCCATCCACACTTTTTGACGTAGCCCACCAAAGCTGCCACATACGCCTTCACCCGTGAAATCTCTTCCCACCGTTTTAGTAGGCATCTCATCCTGTGTGCTTCTCCAAGCTTCCAAGCAACTACTAGCCCAGAAACTTTCCTGAACCAACCTCCACTAGAAGTTCCTCGAGAAGGCACGAACTCTGGGTACCTGAGAATGAACAATACTAAATGCATAGATCAAGAAACTTGAATCCCACACAGAATGCAAAACCATAGAAACATATGATGCTTGAGAAAATGCATGAATTTCCTATCAGATACATCTTGAGTAGAGGACGGCCCAGTCGAAGCTTGAGAGCCTTTTTGTTTGGTGCAATAAAGAAGTTTCTTCACCTGGTCAGGAGTACAGGTCAACCTCCCCCATTGCTTCTGGAACTGGACCAGGTAGTTCTTTGGGGATGCATGCTGCTGAAGCCTCAGAGGGGGTACTTCAGGAGTGGCAGGTGCCAACAAACCAACATCAGGTTGAACTGGCAAAACCGTAGTTGCACTGGCTGGTGAAGACGCGCAGATACCTGGACTTGGGCCAGGTGCCATTGCCATAGAAGCTTCAAGTAGTGGTGCACCTGGGTGTTTGGCTTTAGAACCTTCCACTTCTCGCAGAAAACCAGATCCACTACTGGGCTCACCTGGTGGCTGTTCTTGCAGGTCAGGCATCAGGCCATCCATCTGCAGCCTGTGTGCAAAGTTCACCAAGAGGTCCAAGGTCTGCTTTTGCAACTCTTCTTCATTCAAAGGATCCTGAGAGGGGACGACAGCGGGGCCAAAAACAATGAAGTGATGAGTATGACAAAATGAAGGGGGTTGGCCGCCATCACCCTCCCTCTTCATCACTACAGGTGGAAGTGGTGGAACATGTTTGCATTGCTTTGTTGCGTGTGTTACATGCCCATGAGGTTCCTTTAAGGTTTTTTCTATAGAACTATGCTTATTACTAAGATTGCAACCAGTTGAACAACTACAAACTCCTGACAACCAAAACATTCCCATGCATGAGCGCACAAGAGTCCCAAACTTGCATGCGCATTCCAAAACTTTGTAGCTTGCAGGGATGGAAAGCAACACAATTGACACTGGAGGACTCTTCTGCCCAGAGTTCAAATTGGCGTGCGTTCGCGCGTGCTGGTGACAGCATCTCTTGGAGCAGAAAACGGACGCTGCGCAGGTTGAGGGGCAAGGGAAAAAATTGCGACTTTCTGTTGAACTTGTACACACATGTAGACATATTTACTTGTGTATATAGTATATATGCATATAGAATGACGTTTGATTACGTTTGTGCGAGGAGGAACGAAATAGACCCCAAAGGTCCCTGCCACATATATATATATATATATGTAAGACGTCTATATCATCAAGTTGGAGATCTCCCGCTCCAATTGGTCAAGATTCGGAACCTTTCGGAACATCACAATCTCATCATTAACCTGGAACATCCATTTAGAATTCATAGATGATTTTCCCATACAGATAGATGCCCATCATACGGGAGATTCCCCAGCCGAGGTATTTGTCCACCATCCCACCATATCCCACCATATCCCACCTTAACGCACTGACATAGCGGAAGAGCCGCACCACCCTCACCCCGCGCAGCGCGCGGGCCAAACGGATGCTGCGCACCAAACGCAATTGGCTGCTGCTGGTGACCGAGCCATTGTCCGACGCCATGGCCTGTTCAAATGACCCGGGCATACCAAGGTTCAAGTTTCTATATTCATTTACAATTGATATCAATTATATAATGGTATATTTGATGGTAATTCCTGGAACATTTTGGTATAGATAGATCGCCTTGACTTTTGATTCCAATGATAGTTGAAATGGTTTGAAAGGCCCCCAACTCCTCCAGCCCCAGCCATCTCCCAGCCTGAGCCCAGATGTCGATACCCGTCTCCACCAGGGACACCACAATGATCACAGCATCCATGATGTTCCACGCTGCCTCCGTGCCACACCAATACTCCTGCACCAGGATTGGGGAAAAAAAACGAAATCAATTTCAGATGCGGAGGTTCTTGTATAATGTATATAAATATGTATAAATGTATAAATATGTATGTATACATATGGAAACGTCCATCCATATATCTATGAATATATGGATCCATATATCCATCCATCCACCCATTCGTCCATCCATTTTAGAATCCATCCATCCAATCCATCCATCTGCATCAATGAAGATATCGAGATATCGACTCCACCTGCCTCAAGCCCCTGGGCCACACACTTCACTACGATCTCCACGCAAAAGATCGCCACGATGACCGTGTTGACGGTGCCGAACCACCTGGGCACATCATTTTGGCCCAGCTGAGTGGAGACATCCACTTCCACGCCCAACCTCAGCCGCTGACGCCCCAGTTTGAGCAAGGGGGGTCAGCAAGGAGCGGGGCAACGGGATTGTGGATCGAAGATATCCAGGGTATTCATGGGGATTCTATGGGTTTTAGATCATATGATATGTATGCCTGTGTTCATGTACATGTAGACGTGCCAATATCTTACAAACGTCTGCCTCCATGCCAGTGTGTCAGCCCAACTGCCTTAAGATAAAAAATCCTGAAAAAACACCGCTGGGTTAGTTGGGGCAATTTGAGTCATTAAAAATACCCCTATCCCATCTCAGTGTACTAGTGGTTGATAGGTTCCCTACCGTGAATTATCGCAATCCCCAATTAAATTGGGTAGCATACGTCGCTATATCAACCAACAAATCAGGTATTTCTAATGGCTCATCTCTACTCTACACGCTCTGTCTCTGCAGAGGGTCATGGGTGCATGTTGATTCAGGCGCGGTCAGGAAAAATCTTCAGGGAATCTGGCATGTCAAACCCCTGAACGGGTGTAGTTATTCATTCTTAAGCTGCTGTTGCTGGCACACGGCTAGCGATCTATACAACTTCCAAAGGACAGAAAGCACAGAACTTGCCACCATCATTGGCTCCAGAATCACAGGGCCTTCAATGGCCACAAGCGGCTGTGGTCTCCCAGCTGCCAAGCCACAGTACGACATTCACCATGATCACCAGCATGATGGCATTGCTGAAGGCATTGGACGAGGTTATCTCGTCCAGTTTCATCCTGGCAAAGGGCTGGATGGTGCCAGGTCCCTGCGACAAGATGTTTTTGAGTTTTATGATGGTTTATGACCTGTTTTATGCATGTTCCTCCTGTGATGCCTAGAAAATGCTACAAACAAAATCCGTTGGCGTATGGCTTCCAAACTGAATTCTTTGCAAGGAATGTCCCTCGGCAAAGTCTTTGCACTCGGTCCACCAGGTGCAGAGCCAACACCAAGTACAAGCTAACTACAGACTAACTACAGACTAACTACAGGCTAACTACAGACTAACTACAGGCTAACTACAGACCCCTCCTGATATCGACTGAAGCGGCTTTAAAATTAAAATTTCGCATGAAATCATTATTTATCATTGAATCAACAGAACCCCTCCAGCCACTTGTTCAAGAAAAAACCTTGGGGGACGCATCAAACTCCAGCACCCTTCTGTCCACATCCCAGAACACTTATTGTGCAGCTGGATCTTCATCCGAAATTCCATCAGGTTGTAACTGGCTTAACCCGTCCCCATCAATCCTCCAGGCGCTCTTCGGATTGGTTTTGGCGTCTGTCTTGGCTCGCAGTTTTGCCAGGCGCGAGGCTTCCTTGTTGGCCCGCTCCTTTAGCAGATGGCGGTGCCAGGCGGTGTCCAAGATGCTGCCATCTGCTGATTCACTGAGTTGGATTCTAGAAGAAATGATGGTTTTGGTGTTTTACCCTACCAAACATGGGAGATTCAGACACATGTTTCGACTAAAGCAAGGTGCCGGGCATCTGAGAGACTCGCGGCTGTCGTCACCTCTCAAACATTTTATAGGGGAAAATTGAAAAGGTTCCAAAACAAAACTTTACTTTCATCAGCCACACCGTCATGAACATCATCGTCATCGTCATCGTTATCATCATCATCATCACCACCATCATCATCATCATCATCACCACCACCATCATCATCATCATCACATTGATCATCATCATCATCATCGTCATCATCAACAACAACAACAGAAACATCATCGTTGTCGTCATCATCATAACCATCATCAACAACAACACCATCATCATCATCACCATCATCACTAATCATCACCATCATCATCATCATGATCAACAACATCACCATCGTCATCATCAACATCATCATCATCCTCGTCATCATCGTCATCGTCATCGGCATCATCATCGTCATCGTCACCGTCACCATCATCATCATCATCATCACCACATTGATCATCATCATCCTCATCAACAACAACAACAACAGAAACATCATCATCGTTGTCGTCATCATGATAACCATCATCAACAACAACACCATCATCATCATCATCATCATCACCATCATCACTAATCATCACCATCATCATCATCATGATCAACAACATCACCATCGTCATCATCAACATCATCAACATCATCATCATCATCATCACCATCGTCATCGTCATCGTCATCGGCATCATCACCGTCGTCGTCATCGTCATCATCATCATCATCATCATCATTGACACCATCATACACACGAATTGATTAACATGCATGTCACAGGCGCCGGGCATCTGAGGACAGTACTGAAATATCCTGAAAGGCATGAATGCAACACCCGCCCCACAATCAGAAACTATGATAACCTATTTGTGAAAATGAAAGAGAACCTACAGTAGCGTAGCATGACGTATGTGTGGAAGTGCAAGAGTACCGACAGTAGCGTAGCATGACGTATGTGTGGAAGTGCAAGAGAACTTACAGTAGCGTAGCATGACGTATGTGTGGAAGTGCAAGAGTACCTACAGTAGCGTAGCATGACGTATGTGTGGAAGTGCAAGAGAACTTACAGTAGCGTAGCATGACGTATGTGTGGAAGTGCAAGAGGACCTACAGTAGCGCAGCATATGAATGAAGCGCAAGAGAGCGTACAGTCCTGTGTCAATGCTGTTATTATCCCGCCCCACCCCACCCCACCCTCCCCACCCCCCATGCAATGTTATGTTGATAGCATGATGCAAAAAATGACAACAGTCGCGAGCCTCTCAGATGCCCGGCACCTAAAACAACCCAATGAGTGGCGCTTGAGCCACCCGTTCCAAACTCTCGATTTTGCGTCTGGGATTATACTAGATCATCATGATTCAACATGGCTCCTGGAAGATACCATTAGCGTCAGAATATGCGAAACAACCAGCCAATTCTGTCTACCAACAGCTCCTGGTGCGCTCCCAGAGCCCGGCGCACGAAGGAGTGTCGCGAGCTGTCGCGCTTCTTCTTGAAGTATCGTTTCAGCTGTGAGGATTGGGTCGCATCAACCTGATTCCTCAAATGATCAGCCCCCCCGAAGCACGAAAAAGGGAAGTGACGAGGTAAGGAATATCCTCTTCGAAGTACTCTTTTCATGAGCTTTTGTTCATTTTGTGTAATTTATGGCCAACATTTAAATATGGATCTCATCCAAGCTGCCCTTCATCTTCTTCCAGTGGCACTTCTAAGGCGGAGGCAGGGTTTGGACTCAGCGTGGCCATCCATCCAACGCTGAGATCTGGTGCCATCGCCACCTCTGGCTCGAGAACCTCCGCGCTGTCATCAACCGAGGCAATGTCCTGAAAATGGCTGGAGAATCCCCGAAGCCATGGGATGCCATGGTATGCCATGGGCATGGATGGGAAAACCATCCAGTTGAAGTTGAAGCCTCTGCTTGGCTGCTTCAGCCAGAGAGTAAGGCTCTGCATGACGAGATCCATAAAGAAATGTCATTAGGTCCGGTAGGGTGGGAAAAACTTAGTAGCTCCTCTTTTTCTCTCTCGCATAGGGAATATGGATACCCATGGCCCCGTAGCTCCCTCCCCCACTGGATGGTACAGGCACAGACTTGAAGATGGAGTGGTTGATCGAAACGGCGTTTTGTGAGAACAAGGAGGGCCGCACGTCCCCCTCCTTAGCGGAGATGTTACCAAGGAAATCTCAGCCAAAGAGTAGCCACATGTTTGCACAACAACAGGTGCCGTAGGTTCCAAAAGTGCGCGAAAAAAAACTGGAATTACGTCAGCATCAACTCGGCTAACTGCCATATCCCGCGCCAATATTGCACTGCTACAATCAAGATGAAGGTTACATGCCATGGTCACTAGTTGTGCACTTCATGCACGCAGGGATTGCCAAAAATTAAAGGAAAAAACATGAAAAAACGTTGCTAGCCTAGCTCAGACTAACATGATATTATCACTGATACATCGCTGATATCAATGAGCCAAAGGTAGGACATGGTAGGACCAATGGATTCTCAGTTGAGTCAGTTGAGGCACTAAATGCTGCGGGACATCCCAGTGGTGCATGGTGACCTCGGTCTCCGTGTTGCTATGAGCAAAGGTCGGTCTCTGGAGCCGCGGCTCTCTGTGGATCCCTTGGATCCTCAAGTCGTTCAAAATGGTCAGCTGCTTGGAGAATCCATCCTCCACGGTGCGCCGTAAGAGTTGCATCTCTTGTTGCCAGGACTCCTGGGGGTTCGAGGTGGTTCTGAGAAGTCATTTCTGGGGTACATAGCTGGGCACACGGCTATCAACCCGGTGTTCCACCGGAATAGTAACAGGATGGAACCTTCCAATGGAATCACTGGAACCTCTCCACCGCCCCTCACTGTCTCCTCTCCATCTGAGGGCAGCTCCGATTTGGCGCAGAACGGCATGGTGCCAAAGCTCCACTTTGCGCAATGGCCGGGCGGTGGAGCCACTTGAGCCAAAGCGGGCAGCCGGGCAGCCGAAAAAGTGAGAATTACTGGTCATTGGATTGCTTTAAAGGAACATGCCAAGGTATTGTGCATAGAAAGGAATGTATAATGTGACCAAAAGCTGGGGCTTCTGTAAATTGTCCCTTGATATCCCCCCTCATCAAATTCCAGCACCCTCCGGTAATCAAACCCGGCCATGTGTTGCCTGAATCTGTTTCATCTCATGCAGCCTGAATCGCCGAGTCAATAAATGATGGGCGGTATGTACCTTCCATATCAGATTCCCAGTGTGGAGGTGGATGAATATTGATCAATCCTGGTAGAGTTTTGGGTTTTTTAGAGGGGGGATGGGGTAAATCCATCAATAACCATTATGTAATCACCATCATTAACCCATCACCCATCGTTTACCCATGATATAATCCCGCCACGGTGATCTGTGGTCAAGCAACACCACTTCACGCAAGATGGACTCGTTCTGCTCGCTGCTGCAATGCTCCAACAAGCGTTCCAGCACACGGCAGCCGAATGGATGTCTGCCAGGTGATGCACATCATCGCAGCTCTGTGGACATACCACATTTAACAAGAATATACAGAGAGAGAGAGATATATATATATACATATGCAGCATATATATATATAGATATATATGCATAGTGTAAATATATGTATATATCCGTCGCAATCTCGTCATTTACTCTTTAAACCCATCAAGGCCAAGCGAAGTCTACGCGAAGCCTACGCGGACAAAGGTAGCCTCTGTTTAAAAGAAACGCAGATCAAGTGAGCACGTCTTGTTCGTACCTACATGATATACTTTTTTCATATACTGTACATAAGTGTGTGTGTGCGTGCTGATGTGTGGTCAGAATGACGTTCGCTGGCTGCTTCCAAAAACACAATGAGCTATCCACAAAAATTGCCGATGACTGCATTACACTCCTAGACATACGCAAATGCCCGTATACTGTCTGCAAGCCAAGAACTTCTCACTAGTAACGAATAGGTCGTTTTTATACATGTTCGAAAAGGCAACCAAGGCAACTATCCGATAACTATCCGATAACTCTCCGATAACTCTCCGATAACTATCCGATAACTCTCCAAATCTGAATTTTCTGGGCAAACAGGCCGCCTCGCAGCCTCCGCAACTCGGCCAGTGAGTTCCTGGAATCCACGTGGCGCTTTCTTGGGGACGAACTATCTGATAGTTCGGCCATGTTCGGCCCATTTAGTTCGATGATCTACCCATTAAAATTGTGATGTTATGTGATGTTCAAGGTTAAATTGCCAGAGGGGGTTTACCTCAAAAGTAAACGAAGGTATTTGGCAATGGAGAGCAACTTAGACAGCAACACAGCGACCACTCTTTACCCACGATACTTGTGGGAGCGGCGACATTGCTATAATATCCCTCTGATAGGTCTCGCCATGCCACTGCGGCCGAGGTGCATCGATCACAAACTGCATTTTCTCTGGCGGCATCAGGGCAACAATCTTCTGCAGCACATGATTAGCATGAGGGGACTTCAGTGCCACCCACACCCGGCCCTGAAAGCTGCTGGCCAACAACTGTTTCTCTTGGTAATCTGCCACATCCAAGGCAGTTTGCACCAGCCGGGTGCCATTCTTGCTGTTCGCCAAGTTCCAGCTATCTTGAATCACCTGTCGCAGCAACTCCCGGCGTTGTGGACAGTCGGGCTTCATGAGCTGTTTGTTGGTCCAGTCACAGTCCCGACTGGTCCAACGACTGGAGGCTGCCGAGGCCCAGGATGACTCTGAGGCGGTGCTGGTGGTCACACGCTCCAACTGCCCAGGGGCGAAGGGAGCCTGCGCTACGGATGAAGAGGAAGCATCTGAAGCTGCCTGCACCTGCGCCTGAGGCTCGGAGTCCTGAGGCATGGCCACCATGACCAGGGGCATCATCTGATTGGGCCAGACAGGGGAGAAATCCAAGGCACCATTGACGCCATTGACGCCATTGAAGGGTTGAGCCTGTTGAGCATAGTTCATCCCCATGGGCTGGCCCAAAAATGTAGCTCCCTCCGGCATCTGTGGCATGTGATGCATCGGTGCTTCACTGGTTTGCCTGGTCCAAGTACCTTCATCCTCACTGGCAGTTTGCCAGCCATCCTCAGCATGCATATGCGCCTGGGGCACCAAGTGATTCCTGTTGCGTCGTGTGTGGCGCGCTTCATGGCTTTGCCTCACCCCGTGAATAGCACCTCCAGCAGCCACCACCCAAGCCCACAAGCTGCCAGCAGAGCTGTGGGCATGCTGAAGGCCTGCCACCCCATCCAGGTGCAAAAATGCGCAAATAAAGTCTGCTTGCAGATTCTTGTGAAATTACCGCTTGCCTGCGTGACCACTTTCTTTTTTTTCATGTAAGCGACAGTCATTGATCAAATCAAGCACAGCCAAAGACAACGATTTTGTAGGGCCAGTATAGATATTGACCCTGAGGTTCTGGAGTGGTTGCAGGTAACTGAAGAACAATGCAGTGCCTTGCGTACCAACGCCACATGGCTACCAGATTAGCAGGGATCCTAAATTTTACCTAATTCATAATTCGAGAACTTTGTGCAAGGGTTGCGTAGGCAGCAAGGATTGACCTTTTGTGCCGCGAATCAGAAATCAGAAATCAGCGACTGGATTCCCTTGGGGTGGATTCCTTGCTCCCGCATTTTACAGTAAAAAGGGCAGTCGGCATTGAGCCCCATTAACCAGAGTCTTTACACCTCATCTTGCCTCTAGAGGCCGCGGGCGCAACTTGACTTTTTCAACCATCAGATCTTTCCCACAAGCGCCTCCTACCAGTTGCACTGGCACATAGACACCATGACCTCCTCCCACTGCCGCACCCAAAGGCAAGGGCGCCGGCACTGCAGCCACGCTATTGGAACTTTGGCGCGGCCTACCAACCCAATGGGCTGATGGGATCTAATGGGTTGGCTGTTATCCACCACGTTTTTACACATCTACTTGAAGCTTGCATGGTTTTGAGGATTCAATGGGCCTCCAAAACGCCAAAAAAAAACAGTTTCAAGTGCATCTGAATCACCTTGGGGTCGAAAAATTGCCGCCCAAGTGATATCCACCGGCCTCACGTGAGGTGTCTGGGTGGTGCGACTGGTGCTGGCCGGACCAGCTCTGCCCACAGCAAAGCTCAGCACGGCCAAGATGCTCTGCAGGTGGCGCTTCAGGGCCATGGCCTGGAGCGAAGGCCCCCAGGGCAGACAGATCACTTACGCCCAGCGACCGCCAAGGCGGCCATGGCGGATGGCGCCGGGCCATAATGGGGAGCCACTGTGAATCAACAGTTCACACGATTTTTTGGTGGAAAATGTGAGTTCACACAATTTGTTTGGCTTCAGTGTTCAATGATTGGCGCTGAGACCCTGTTTACAATTTCACCCACCGCCCAGTGCCTGCGCGCAAGATCTATTTTTGGCATTACTGTACTTTTTGCAGTGTTCGGATAGACTTAGAGAATTTCCAACTTATAGTGCCAATCCATAACATCTAAATAGTCTTCGGATCAAGATGATCGTCATAGAGTCTATACAAATAAACCCATCGCATGGTTTTGGTGTCCAACATTGACCCATACGCAATTGACCCCTGCCCGCCTGGAACTGCAGGATGGTCTGGGATCCACTTGAGTTCGGCAGAGCTGCAAACCCTGGACCCCCTGAAACATGGTTTTCCAGGGAGGTTGCTTTGAGTGTGGAAATTGAAATCGCCGAAAGCGGCCACTTGCGGCCACTTGCGGCCACTCGCTGGGAGCGGCCACTTGCGGCCACTTGCGGCCACTTGCGGCCACTTGCGGCCACTTGCGGCCACTTGCGGCCACTTGCGGCCACTTGCGGCCACTTGCGGCCACTTGCGGCCACTCGCTTGGAGCGGCCACTTGCGGCCACTTGCGGCCACTCGCTGGGAACGGCCACTTGCGGCCACTTGCGGCCACTTGCGGCCACTCGCTTGGAGTGGCCAGTTGCGGCCACTTGCGGCCACTCACTGGAGCGGCCACTTGCGGCCACTCGCTTGGAGCGGCCACTTGCGGCCACTTGCGGCCACTCGCTTGGAGCGGCCACTTGCAGCCACTTGCGGCCACTCGAGTGGCTGCGAGTGGCTGCGAGTGGCTGCGAGTGGCTGCGTGCTGGTAGAAATAGATGGCAGAGTTGGCATCTTGAAAAAAATTGGTTTTGCTGGAAAGGCGTTTTATTTTCAAGTTTGGAGGTTGGATAGGTAGGATTTTATCGTGCCTCACGAAACCATGTGGCTAACCATATGCCACCCATGTCGTCCATAGCGTGGGGAAGATCTTGGGGCGTAGCATCAACGGTGGTAGAACGGGTCTTGGAGAATAGCTCCAATGATGGTGCAATGTTGGAAAGTCGAAGGGAAGATCTTTGAGCGTAGCAAAATGACGGTAGAATGTTGGAAATGGAAAAGATACCCCAGAGCGTAGCATCAATGATAGAAGAAAATTGAAGAGAAGATCTCAGAGCGTAGCGTCAAGTATGTTAGAAAGCTGAAGAAAAGATCTTAGAGCGTAGTGTCAGTGATGGTATAATGTTTGAAAGTTGATGAAGAGAACACCACAGACGGTCCATGATGCTAAAAAGATGAAACAAAAAAGTTACAGCATCAACGCAGTACTATGTAAGAAAATCAAAGAGAAGACCTAAGAGCGTAGCAACAACTTTGCTAGAAACTTGAAGGGTAAAAATCAGGGTAGACTGTGAGAAAATTCAAGAGAAGATCTTAGACCGTAGAATCACTCATGGTAGAATGTTTGGAGTATAGCATCAATGATGACGAAGTGTTTGAAAGTTGATTAGATCTTAGAGCGTGGCATGTTAGAAAATACAAGAGAAAACCTTGGCACGTAGCGTCAATGATAATAGAAAGGTGAAGAGAAGATCCAAGAACGTAGCATCAATGATGTTACTGTAAAAAATTGAAAAGAAGATCGTCGAGCTAAGGGTCAGTGATGTTCAACACTTGAAAAGAAGATCTTAGAGCGCAGCATTGATGGTGTCAGAACATGGAAAAGAAGATCTTAGAGAGTCGCGTCAATGATGTTGGAAAATTTGAAGAATCTTGGCGCGTAGCATCACTGATGTTTCAAATTTGAAGTAAAGATCTTGGAACGTAGCTTCAAGTATGTTGGACAATCGAAGAGAATATCTTAGAGCGTAACATCAAACATGTTTGAAAATTGAAGAGAAGTTCTTAGAGCGTAGCATCAATGATGGTACAATGGGAGAAACATGGAAATAAAATCGAAAAACATAGCATCAATGCGGGTAGAATGTGAGAAGAAAACAAAAGAAATCTTAGAGCGCAGCATCGATGATGCCTGAAAAGTGAAGAGAGTATCTGAAAGCGTAGCATCAACAATGTTGGACAGTTGAGAAGATCTTTGAGCGTAGAATGGCTGATGTTGGAAACTTGAAGAGAAGATCTTTGAGCGTAGCATCAATGATAGTAGAAAATTGAAGATCAGTTGCAGTTTGGAGATTGGAGAGAAGATCTTAGGGCGTAGTATCAATGATGGTAGAAGCTTGGAAGAATGATGCGCAGATCTTGGAGCGTAGCATCAATGATGGTAGAGTATTTGCAAGTTGGGTAGATCTTAGAGCGTAGCAGCAACCAGTTAGAAGCCTAAGGAGAAGCTGTTGGGTAGTAGCATCAATGCATTCTATGTAAAACATGCAGAAGGTCTCAGAGCGTATCAAAGCGTAGCATCAAATAATGTTACTGTTAGAAACTCTTATCCCCGGTGCGTTACTTCTTTCCTTTCGTTTAACGCTTCCCTTCCATTTGCTACAGCGTTCCTTTCGTTTCAACTCGTCCCGTCCATTTGATACTTCCTTTCTTTCGTTTCAACACTCCCATCCCGTTCATGTACTTCTTCCTTTCGTTTCAAGCCGTTCATGTGGTTACGTCCTTCCACTCGTCTCAATTCCTATACAATCCTTTCGGTTACATGTTTTATTGTAACTATCCTATTTCGTTTGTAACTTCCTTCTTTAAGTTTCAACACTCCCCCTGTTACTTCCTTCTTTAAGTTTCAACACTCCCCCACTTTAGTTACTTCCTTCCTTTCGTTTCAACTCCTTCCTTCCGTTTGCTGTCAAGTCGTTCATTTCGTTACGTCCGTCCTTACGTTTCACCTCGTTTATAAACCCCCTTCGTTACTTCTTCCCCTTCGTTTCACCTCTTACGCCTCCTACAATCTGTTCGTTACTTTAATTCTTTCGTCGATTCGTTGCAACTCTTTCCTTTCATTCCTTATATACTTCCTTCCTTTCGTTTCAACTCTTCCCTTCCGTTCGGCCGTTCCTTTAGTTTCAACTCTTTCCTTTCATTCGTTACTGTCTTCCTTTCGTTTCAACGCTCTCCTTTCATTCGTTACTTCATTCCTTTCGTTTCAACTCTGACATCCCGTTCCTTACTGCTTCCCTTCGTTTCAAGTCGTTCATTGCTGGCCGTGGTCCAAGAGATTTCCTACTTGGGTGATTATAACAAAAGCATTCAACCTAACTCTGATAAAATTCATCTCTCCCCTGCGGCTGAAAAACATGATACGGATCGAACCAAAAGTGCTGGGAATCTGGTGAAGCAGTGCCAAGGGTTTGCTATACACAGGCGGTAAACAATGGTAAACACCGAGAAATTAACCAGCATCCACGAAAAAAATGGTACGAATCAAAAATTTACCAACACCCACGGTAAAAGCGATAAAATTCGAAAAAATATGTCTTTCCTTTTTTCCCTGCAGGGGGCACAAGCGTATACGCGGTCGACAAACAACAGCCGCGAACCGGCCGAAGCAAACTGATTTTAGCTGTTTCCGCTTTCAATTTGTTCTTTCCGTTCATTGTGTCCTTCCTTTCTTTTCAACTCAATGCTTCCTTTCCGTTCATTGCCTCCTTCCTTTCGTTTCGCCGCTTCCTTTCCATGCGTTACTTCTGTCCTTTCGTTCCATGTCTTATGTTCCGTTCGTTACTTCTTCCCATTCGTTTCAACTCTCCGTGTAGTTTCAACTCTTCGTTTCCGTTCATTGCGTCTTTCCTTTCGTTTCACCTTTTCCCTACTATGCGTTACTTCCGTCCGCTCGTTTCAAGTCTTATATCCTGTTCGTTTTTTCTTCCCTTTCGTTTCAACTCTTCCCTGCCGTTTGCTCCGGCCTTCCTTCTGATCTTCCTGTGTCGTCTCAACTGTTCCTTTCCGTTCGCTGCGTCCTTTCTTTCATTTCAAGTCTCCTCTTCCATTTGTTACTTCCTTTCTTTCGTATTAACTCTTATGTCCTGTTCGTTTCGTTTTTCCTTCCGTTTCAACTCTTCCTTTCTATTCGTTGCGTCTGTGCCTTCGTATCAACTCTTCTGTCTTGCTCGTTTAGCTCTTCCTTTCCTTTCACCTTGTCCATTTCGTTGCGTCCATCCTTTCGTTTTAACTCTTCCCTCCTATTTGTTATTTCTTTCCTTTCGTTTCAACTCTCACCTCACGTCTCACAGAAAACTTGAAAAAATGCCGTTCGCGAGAAAAGCATTTTTTTTCAAGTTTTCAAGGGTGGGGCCATTCGGGCTGGTATTTGCCGTCCAAGCAGCCACTTGCGGCCACTTGCGGCCACTTGCCCCAGCGGCCACTTGCGACCACTTGCGGCCATTTGCGGCCACTTGCGGCCACTTGGCTGCAAGTGGCTGCAAGTGGCTGCAAATAATGAAAATGGCTGCAAGTGACGCTGCTCTGGAAATTTCAAATCCTACCAGCAGAGCAACCGGCACGTGCGGCCACGTGCGGCCACGTGCGGCCACGTGCGGCCACGTGCGGCCACTTGCGGCCACGTGCGGCCACTTGCGGCCACTTGCGGCCACTTGCGGCCACTTGCCCTAGCGGCCACTTGCGGCCACTTGCGGCCACTTGCGGCCACTTGCGGCCACTTGCGGCCACTTGCGGCCACTTGCGGCCACTTGTGGCCACTTGCGGCCACTTGCGGCCACTTGCGGCCACTTGCGGCCACTTGCGGCCACTTGCGGCCACTTTCGGCCACTTGCGGCCACTTGCGGCCACTTGCGGCCACTTGCCCTCGCGGCCACTTGCGGCCACTTGCGGCCACTCGAGTGGCTGCAAGTGGCTGCAAGTGGCTGCTTTTTTGAATTTCAAATACCGCGCGTTTTGCAACCTCAATGTGGTTTTCCCAAAAAATGTTGTTCTCAGAAATGTACGGAAATGATGATGAAATGATGAGCTTTGCACTTTATTGTGGGACACCGTGCCCCTGTTTTGGACAATCTCACATCCTTCAGCCTGAACTGAAACAAGGGAAGTGCATAGTGAGACCTGAGAGCTCTTCCATAGCATGTGGCAGTCCCACAGCTGCCATTCAACTATTGCCACCATGATGAAAGAAAAACACGGAATTGACAGAAAAAAACGCTATCAACCACCCGGCCCAACCCGACAAGCTGCAAATCTGCGCAAGGGTAATCAGGGTAATGCAAAAGGCGTGGCCAGCAAAAATCACATCGTTGAGCCTCGCACCACTATCCTGCAAGGGCCCCTCCCTTTAATCACGACCGGGCAATCCCTGCAGACTTTGAAACCCTACCCTTCACAAAGAAGCAGCCCCAAGACAAGAGCTCAGCGACCTGATTGCCCAATAGGACAACAAAACTTCATTGTTCTCCTGGTTGTCATGCTCCTCTCGGTACGCGGCACGGATGCCAGAATTCCAGAAGAACAGGGCGTTGAAGAGGAAGTAACATCCAAAGCCAAACTTAGCAACAAAGTGGGCAGGCTGTATCGCTGTTCCAGCCCCATTGTGTTGAGTCAAGATGTATGTGTTCAAAGCTTTAGTGAAGGCTGAAGGCTAGGTTGTTTCTGCTTCAACATGTTTCAAGCAAGACATGCCATGTGCCAATGTGGCCGTCACAAATGACGCAGGTGCTTCATCCCTCCAAATTTCCCAAACATCCAACTCTCGTGCAGCTGCGAGTCTGCGTTCAAGATCCTCAGCTACCAGAAGTTTCAACGGACCAGCACGACGAGATGGCTACTGACGGCTGTGTAGCTGGAAGCCACAGTGTTTCCGACCCCAAGACAGCCAGGAGGCTGGAAATCCAGGGACAAACCGTTGACGCTTTTCCGTCGGAAGTTCAGTACTACCTGCGGCTGGGCTTGGAAAAGGAGGCTGTAAGGCTCGGCTCGGGAGACTGGGCCAACCCTTTTTCAAACTGTGCCCCCCTTCACACGGATCAAAGAAGGCAAAAGAAAATTACACGGGCCATACTATAGGATAGTATGGCATTCCCATCGCAGGTTGCATCCACAAAAAATCCTGACAATGCGCCTGTGGGTAGAAGGAGACTGACCTCACAGAGCACAGTATGAAGTTCTCTGAATCGCCAAGGTGAGGCTATGGATCGGCCCCCAGCATTGAGCCAAGGCACCAAGCAAAGAAGTAGGTCCAGCCCAGGACTTCTGAGATCCGGTTGCCCAATCCAGGTTCTGCGGGCATAAAAATACCTGCGCTGGCAGAGAGGGTTACAAAATTGAGACTCTGCTGGTTGCCACAAAAAGCGGTGTTGCGGTCCATTCATCCCATTCAATCTTAGTACCTATACACATGTTCAAAGTCAAAATATAATTCATAATTATAATAATAGTCACTAGATCCTTTTCTTGCTCACTATTATACCAACTAAATCCTATGGTATATCCGATTATTGGTGCCCTATATCCCCATGATTATCGCCCTCAATTCACCCGCGCCTACCAGGACTCCCAAGATCAAGGCTCCAGGGACCCATAATCGATCCCAACGCTCAC